GAAGTCAACTGCCCGCTCAGTGCTTTCTTGGCATTAATTCCTGCTCCTGTAATAGTTTTGATCAGTTATTCTTCATCAATTTCGCATGACTTTAAAGACATTTTGCTTAACCAACATCGAAAATGTCCCATAAGCTTCATAAAAAAAAGGATGAGATCTATAAAAAATTCGAAGAAATTTACCATCTATTTGGTTATTACTCAACGCTTTTGCTGCCATCCAACAATACCTCTCATCACCATCGACTTTTGCTTCATCAAGTTCTTTCACGAACTCATCATTTGAACAATCTGATTTGGCGAGCTTCTGAAAACATTTCAAGGAAATATTATTTCATGAGAAATTTCAATGAGATTATTGGAAAACTTCTAGTTTTCCAAAGAATACGAACGTAACTGTTTCAACATCCTCTCTCCGCAGTCAAAAATGTACGAAAGCAAGCAAATAAGTGATGTGAAATCATCAACCTACCGACAAATGTAGAAAGGTCCAAATTTCATTGCGGAAATGCTCCGAGTTCATTAGTTGATCGAACGACTGCAACGAAGACGGATCGGCGATGCCGTATAATGCCTCAGCTTTTGCGGTCAATAAAAATTCATCGGTAATACGGGCGAGTGCAAGATGTTTTTCCGTCAACAGCGCACTATCCACCGTCTCCAGCAAACGTTCATATTGTTCCAGATTCAGATAAACAATTATCAGCGGTGCACTGAATGGCCTACAAAAAAAGAATTTCTTTTCACTTGCTGAACAAAAATTCCATGGACATTTACACTTACGTATCAGTCTAGCTGACAACTAACAACTAACATCTCTGCGTTCAGATAAGTGATCAACAATTCAATTATTATAGAACAGGCACTATTATTACTACTTTAATTGTGATTATTTCACTTCCCTTTCTCAAAATGTATGGGTTATAATCGCCTCATTACGATCACCGTTCATTCTAACATATCAAGTTAGAATTAATAAGAAAAGAAAGAATTGACGCAGATGACCAACAAAATAATTGCACGATTAAGATACAATCCATGAATGTCATTCGATTTTGCTCAAACAAGTCAACTGAACAAGTCACAAACCATTTGAGTTGTTGTGCGTTGAGTGTTTGAATGAGCTCAAAGCCGGCATCAAATCTGCGCTCACAAATGAACTGAAGAAGCGTTTCGAAACAATCGCTTTCAGCGGTGCTCACTGATCTCAACATCACCAACAATTTCTCATCAACACAGCGTTTGATCAGTGAATTTGTCGCGATTAAATCACTGAGCGATTTCTGAAGCCATTGCTGTCGTTGCGATTGGAGCTGGGTTGGTTCGGCACTTGAATCGCCTTGTTGCTCGTGCTCACTGGCGCCATATCGTCGTATATATCGTGACGCTTCAGCAATGACCAATTCGTTCAACTCATCAAGGCTCTAAAACACACGAGATACCCGGTCAATCTGCCTGAAGACATTTTGCCTAAGGACAGTTTGCCTAAAAACACATTGTCTAACGGGCAGTTTGCCCAACAGACATTTTGCCTAACGGACATTTTGCCTGAGGAACAGTTTGCCTATTAGGCGAAATATCCACTAAAAACCATAGGTTAGGCAGACTGTCCGTTAGTCAAACTGTCCGTTAGTCAAACTGTCCGTTAGGCAGACTGTCCGTTAGG